CATCATCACATGCATGAATATTTTAGCCAAGTGGTCAGAATATTTATTACACTCATATAATTGATTACACTTTTATGTTTCGATGCACTCCTTTAATTCATTCTGTACCTGTGTGTGTGTTTGTGTGAGTGTTAGTCCAACAATTCCCTCTCAACTTTTGAAAAACAATGTTAAGGTCAAATAAGCCAAGTGCACTGTCTTCTTTGCGAAGATAGGAGATATTCACCTATTCTTTGTGCAATCAATACTACAGATTTGTAAGATAGATAATAAACAAAGGCTTGATTACTGTTCTGCATGTGCACACTTCTGTTGTGCACGAGTGTGAAATTAAGCATTGCGGGATGCAAACAATAAAGCTTATTCATCAAAATGGTGAATTCTAATGAACTTGTTTTTCTCAATAATTAGGTAGAGGTCATCTGATTTACGTGGATTATACGTTACTAATAAATTAGACTTGATACATGAATAGGTTCGCTATGAGTGTGTATTTACAAAAAGATGTGTTCAGCAGCTAGCAAAATGAGAAACGTTTTTGGTCTCCAAGTATAGAAAGAGTTTGACAGTTTTCCATGTCAGTATCACTGATGTTTATCAAAAAGTTTCACGTCCGCTGAACTTTAATGTGCAGAATGATGGCACATTTTTACCTTTTGGAACTACTGAATTTCCCGTTATTTATTTCCGCCGGGGTAATATCCTGCTAATACTTTTCCCCAAGTATAGAGCGAAACGTTGTAATTAATCATTTCAATTTTGCTGAGATTTCAAAAATACATCTTTTGTATATATCTACTTCTCACCTGGCGCCCAAGTATTTTGGAACTATTGCGTAAAATTTTGATCACAATTCATAAGAATTTCCAGAAGTTAGTTGCGCTTTTTTCTGAACGGAACGAAACTGTATTATGCAAAAGTCGATTGACAGTCACAGATTTATATGACAGCGAATGTTATTGAAGATTCTCATTAGATTCTAAAAGAGAAATCCCCCAGTTTTTCTTACTTTTAATGATCGTTTTCACTTTTGGAAACTTCGTTCAAAATAGGCAAAACACCTTGAAATTTTTGAAAATTATTACAGATGATAATTTCTTTTTTCATAAAATAGTTCAACATTTTTTAAAAATTTGGTTACTGTTTATGAAGTTAGTTGCATCACTGCTCCAATAATATACAGAAGGCGACTTAATTAACAAGACAACAAGACCAAAACAAAATAGAGGGAATGTAATTACCAGGGCTGATCACTATATATGCATTAACATTTCACTCTTATTTGTTGGTTAGAATGTCTGAGGAAAACAGATTTAAAGTAATTCGTTGGTGATGACTGAAACTGTAATCAAATTCGAACCAATCATCTGCAGGTGACTTTCTTTTCATGTCTATTTCGTTTCCTATTTGAGGACTGTAATGGGTCCACTAAATTTACTATTCTATTCGAAGATATTGTGATTACATTGATCCTAACAGTTACTAGTATTATCATCATCACTATCCTGGGACAAAGCCTTTGTGGTCATTGAAACATCAGGCAGTTCACTCGAATAGTTTACGCCGCTACCAAACTTTAAAAGTATAGGAGAGCATTAATTTCTGTGTCTACCTAATATGTTTAAAAGTCTAAGGAGGTCTGAACTATCTTTTTTTGGGTTAACAAAATGTCCTGAAACGCTCTCTGATAGTGCAGATTTAATTTCCCGCTTTTAGAATTATCTTTTGGTAAGTATATAACTGTTCTTTAGTTACTTGCAGTGGACTTAATCAAACAAAAAGAAACTTGGTTTTATTATTTTGTTTTTAATCAAAATACACTAATTTGCTTTAAAAGCATAAAAGCACTCCTGCATCATATATGGATTTTAATGTAACCAATGCACTAAAAGGTCCTTCTATTCCTTTGATTATTTATGAAATTCACTATCACCTAAGTGGAATTATTTTAGACTAATAATAATTTATATTTCATCATGAATGTTGTAGACAATTAAGATTGTGAGCAAGCTTGAAACGATTAGAAAGAAAGAGTAGTACTGTCATACACACATCGGTCTGTTGTTTTTGGCTTCATAGAAAAACAAAGTGATTGAAAGCCCATTCAAAGCACATGACTGTAGGTATGTGAACCACATAAGATTTGATCATTTACCTTCTGTGTATATTACAATGTAGAGAACTATCAGTAACCGGGGTGTATTTGATAGCTATTTTGTCCTAGCCTGGGACTCTTCAACTGTGCACACTTACCACCCTACCAGGAATCATAACCCGAACCTTCAGGTTACTAGTCCAGTTCGTTAACCATTTAGCCCTATAGGGCGGAATTCCATGACCCATGAACTTTAACTTAGTCATTTCGTGTATGTGTTGGATATTTGAGTTCTTAGAGCAGCACTTATTTTCGCGCCATTAAAAATCTTTGATGACAGACACAGTACTCAAGATCATATCATTAATATAGGGTCTAAGGTAGTTCAGTATTGTTTGTATTCAAATTCAGTGTGAAATAAGTATGAATTTCACCACTCATTGGGAAATGAAAATAAAATAATAAATACCACTCTAGCATTTAAACAGGAGTTTGTTTCATATTCTTTTTGTTTTACTCACTCCGGTAACTTTTTGTGACCTAACTTATGCTCTTAATCATACCTCTGATTTGTGGCTTTATGGATAGTCCAGCAATTGATATGAAATTGCTTCACAGTGCATTAGTTCAAGGTTGCTTCCTTTGTTTTGTTTTTCTGTATTCATCATTTCATCAACAATACAGAAAGATATGATGTTCTCTAGGCTTGATAAGTGTTAAAATAGGCATAATTAAATAATCGGAATACTTTTGCTTAGTTTACTGAACAGAGGTTTTTATTCATTTAGGATATTCGTGTTCTTTTCACTTACTTGATGAACTAGTTTGTAATTATCTGTAATCACTAGAAAATAATGTTTGTTTTTGATCTGAGAATTACAAACAGAAGGCGCGGGTGAGAAACTTGTGTAACTAAGTTAAAATACAGGATTTTCATCATGAACTGATATCAGTTAGAGAACCATTGGAAAAACCTGGGAGTACTGGACAGCTGTTTCGTCCTAGTTCGGGACTCCTCATCAGTACGCACCCACCGGGTTTGTGTATATCTGATGTAGGTAAAATTTGGACAAAGCTTTAGTATGTCAAGTGGAAATTAGGAATAGATGGCTATCAGTCAGGTGGTAAAGTATTGTCATTAGTGTCTCCAATCATTACCAAGAGTAAGTGTAGTATGGATAATATTTCAATGCATTACTTTAATCGCGTTTATTCACAAGGTAGTTTTTTTTTATTCTAAGGCTATTTGTTCACTAAAACTCTAAGTCTGTAGACTCAGTGGTGTTTCGTTACTGAATGCAATCACAGGAGGCTGGAAGAAAGTGACGCTTTCTGAACTGATTCTGTGACCACCATAAATTCATATATATATATATATATATATATATATATATATCACAGTAAAGCCTAGATACGGTTAAGTTGTTTAATATTATACCCAGTGATTACTCAGTTCTCATCCATCTAATCAATTAAATAAATTCTATTCGTAACAAGCAGTTAGTTATAGAAGTATAAAAATGAAATGTTAAAGTCGTACGATTATCTCGAAACGATTATAAACGATTAATTTCAGCGATGTCACTGGGACCTCAACCGAAGAGTCAGTGAATATACAAACTCGGTTGAAGAGTAGTAAGCTGTCAATTGATTTTTCAAAAGGGTTTTCGTGAAAAAATGAAACCGATACTGTATTTCAAAAATATGATGTCGTGAGTTGGAATTAATTAAAAGACGTATTTCATAGGTATCCAACTCAATATCAGACTTGATTGACTCAGTCTCTCAGAAGTCAATACTTACCTTTTTTCACACCACATTATGACTTTTCATGATTGTTTCTTATGTTCGCATATCTTTCCAGGTTACTTTTGGTAATCAATCACAACCTTGATTTACGAACTTATTTCAGACCCTAGGGATATTTTTCTTATCTAGTGCAAAATCGCCTTATTGAATTTCCTACTAGGAGAAACTTTAATCACACAAAACAAGAGATACATGGTCAGTATGCTACGTCATGGTTTAATACTGTTACTGAATACCTGTCAGTGAAATTACACTCTGGGTGGGAAGTAATTTGATCAAGATTCAATGGGTTAACTATTGTTTTAATGAATTCCAAGTGGAATCCTAAAATCTTTTAACTGAAATATTATGAAACATGTCATTAAAAAGAAAACATCAAATCCTATCATAGCTAAAGGTAGGTCATTGCATCGCTATCATCATCGCAGTTGTTAAAGAATCAGTAAGTATTTGATGTTTGTTTAGTTGTATTCCGAAATGCTTTAGTAGCATGACACATCAGATTTGTGGTTCATTGAGTCTACACTCAACACATGCAACAGAAATGACTCAACGCAAATACCAGAGATATCGAAGATATTATTACCACCAGTCAGTCAAATCAGAGGAGGATAATAAATAATCTCAAAGTTCTATTTCAATTCACATTCACTATAACATTATAACAAGTTACTTATTGTGACTAAAAAAGCAGTCGTCTTATGTCCCATCTGATTGTATTTGATTGATAACACTCATATTATTATTATTGCTGAATGTACATTATCCTATATCGATTTTTGATCCAAATATCTAATCAATTCCACTCATGTATATAAATGAAGTAAAAAGTTGTATGAGTAACTTGATATGATTATGAGCAATAGTTTGTGCTCGAAACGTGGTCATCAGTTAATATTACTGTATAACACCACTGTGTGATTTATCAAAATAAAATCTTATCCATAATGGAGTTATACTCTACCACAGTGCCCAAGTTTTATACTTATATCAATAAATTTGTGCTTATTGCCACCAACTGGGGCAGTAAGGATTTAGATATCCAAAAATAGAAACAACAACATACTACCGAGTTCGAGTTCAGCAGGCAGAGTTCACAAAATCAAATACTTTGATAATGTCCAGTGCATCAATCAATTTTCACGCTATGCATTGGTTCAAAAAGACAGTTATTTTTGCATGTGCACGCATGTTGATGAATTTTTTTTTATATTTCTACCACAACAATTATGTGAGAAGTAATCAACAATAACAACAAACACATTGGCACAAAAAAAGAGTGGAAAAAACAATTCTGTTTTAAAATCACTGAAAGTAAGCTGGAAAAGGAAAACTTTCTTTACAGTCTTTGTGCAAATAAAATTATCTTTTGTGTTTCATGTATATTTGAGTGCGTGTGTATGCATGTGTGTAAGTGTATGCGTTAGTGTGTATGCCAGCAGCAGTTTGAAAATAAAATTACACCGAACAGTGTGTTTAAATAATTCCATAGATTACATTAACAATGACATAATTAAACATTTTGTTCAGAAATTTCATACTGATCGGTAGGTAAATTTCGAATGAGGTTTACAATTAACTGCAAGCTTGTAGGATTGATTGTCTTTTTCCTTCAATATATACAAAACTTCTGGTTTCAACTTCGTCAAGTAAATGATCATTCATACATGGTGTGTATCGGTAATAAAATAACTAAACTAACTGATAACATCAAAAAAAGTTATACGCATACCAATTACATACAGTCTGCGAATAGAAATGAGACTTCATTTAAATAAAATATTTACACTTAAGAATGATAAACAACATAACTGAAGGTGTATGGTCAACAACGACGAAAAGAAACAGAGATTATCACGTATTTTTCTTTCAAACAATTCCAAGTGAAGTTAACTGGCTCATATCATTCAGATTCAATGAATCTGGATCACTTTTAGGGCGTCCAATTTGTGGACGACCACATGTTGTCGACACCTTCGGACAATTAGAAGCAGACATGAAAGTAGGATTGGCACCAGCTGCTTGTGTGGTATAAGTAGTAGTAGCAGTAGTAGTAGTAGTATCATTGGTATTGATAAACTCAGGTTGCTTCATTACTGAGCTCGCATTGGAATATAATCGGTCTGTATTTTGTTGGACATGACTGGAAATAAAAGACTTTTCATGACCTTCAGACTGGTTAACTTTAGTGGCATGATTACTATCACTACAGTCATGACGATATTTAAGCAGTAATGGCTTCTCAGCAGAAATACCATGAGTATCACAGCCTTCTAAACCACTTTCAGCAAGTTTCTGAGATGTACGACGTGACCATGCACGATAACACATAATCACCGTTAGTGCAATAAACAAAAAGGTAATACAGACACCAACAATCAAAAGTAAATATATTCTAGAACTTTGTTCAAATTCACTTACTGAATTCCGTGTAATGCTTTCAACACTTGCAATTAATGAGGACACTTTTAATTCGGAGAGTTCCCAGTCTTTTAATTTACGAACAGCTAGTCTTGGACAGTAAGACGATACGGATGACGCCAAGGTAGTGCCTGACACAGTTGTCATTCCATTTTGGGCTAGAAATTTCAAAGACGGTCGTGAATGGATGTCAAACTCTGTATTACTATTATTAGCAGCCTTCAGATCTTCACACATGTTTACAGACTCTTTTGCTCCTCGATAAACTTCGCGTTCTTCATATGGATTGTACGTCATATTATTGTGTTTAGTTGAAACCAAAGAATAATAATCCCCTTCCAACATCAGTCCCTTTACGAGACTAGCTTCACCGATTAAAGAAAAAGGTCCCTTAGGCCACAATGCTCGGCCTAACCAAAGACCTAATGAAGTGCGCCAGTTGACAAACGGTACTGCTGGAAGTGGTCCCATGATTAATTCAATTGGACGTGTTACTCCAGACCCATCAGGATTACAAAATGTGTCATCATCTATGTGCTGCCAAGGATTAGCGGTTAAATTGAGGACGAGTCTCGTCTGACTGATAGTATGTCGATCAAATAGACTCAAACTACGTGCTGTTAAATGATTTAAATGTGTCAGACGATTCCACGAAAGATCAACCCAACGCACTGGTAAACCAGATAAAAAGTCAGCTTGACTGACCGAAGAATTGGAAGATGGAATGCAAACAAGCCAGTTAGCAGAAAGGTCTAAGTATTGAAGTTGTGTCAATGAAGAAAATGTATCTGATGGTAGCTGTATAAGTCGATTTCCACGAAGTGAAAGCACTTTCAAACTATCCAGACCTTCAAATACTTCGCTTGTTAAATTGGTTATTTTAAGTTCAACCATTTCAAGAGTGACCAAACGACTTAAACGTGAAAATAATTTTGGTGAAGGAGTTTGAAACCCGCCAAACGTAGCTTGATCATCGTGACTCATGCGTAAATCAGTTAGAGTTGAAGCACACGGAATAAAAACGTTAGGGTCCAGTTGCTGCAATGGATTGTTTCGCAGATCTAAAGTCTCCAATTTCGACAAACCAATCAGGCTCTCAGCATCCAGAACGGTCAATATATTACGATCCAGACGTAACTCACGTAAATTAGAACAACAGTTGTTGAAAAATACTCCAGGTTCAATATAACCAATTTTATTATCTGACAAAATTAGTACTTGGAGATTTACAAGGTCACGAAACACTTCACGTGTTAGCGATCTGACAGGATTTGAAACTAAAATTAAATGTGTCAGACTTCTCGCAACCCCTTGAAATACCTTGTCACCATATCCATTCAGTGCACGATTATGCGAGATGTTCAAATGTTTAATGGTGGAGAACATAGCAAAACTGGTGGACGTTAAACGTGTCAGATCAGTATTGATCACAGTTAAATTAGTTACTTTACGCCAGCTGCAATTAGATACCATTAAATTATTACCAGTCGAATTCATGAAGTGAGTAACATTGAAAAAACTTAATGATTTCACTTTTTCACTGCATAATTCTGGATACATATTAGTCATTTGATCAATACTGTAACCTTCAATGTCAATACATTCACATTGTGATGAATTGTGATAATGTGTTTGCAATGTACACTGACACGAAGCATTGGAAAATTTAATAGAAAGATTAAAGCAAAGCATGTGGTACAGGAATAAAGGCAATGTGATAATTTGAGTGATAGACCAAAACAACATAATTACTAGTTGACGTGATAATTCCTTCTCTATGGTTTTACACCTTGTGTCAAATGAACAGCTAAATGATTACGCTGGGTTATATTTCAAAACATTTTTTTCTTTAAATAAGTTGGGATTTCAGTGCATAAACAGTCATGTTTGTTTGTCTATTTTGTCTGATATATTCACATACCTGTCTACCACACCATCAACCAAGTCGGTAGTGTAATAACTAAACATATTTAGTTGTGTGTCTAGGTGAACTTATTGGCAAATCAGAATTAGGTGAGATGTTATGTTCGAAAGTCGAAGTTGGAACAAAGGTCAATAATTATGAGTCAACAAAATGGAGTAAAGCAAAAGTGAAGAAAAAATCTTCACAGGCATCCAGTTCACTTGTACAGCTTAGACAAATTAATGTCTTACTGTAGTCTGCTGATAAAGCAGAATATAATGATTATATAGAGAAGATAACTTCGCAAGACATCTTTCAAGCTTGGATAGTGTTATTAGAAGACAGATTATCTGAAAAATTTGATGTATTTGCGCAGTACATTTCGAATAATTTGATCACACATTTACTTGTCAAATCAATTTAAATGAAAAATAAAGGCCAATTAAAATGCACAGTGACAGAAAGGATTTTACTATAATGAGAAAAATTAAAAATGCGTCTTGTTATCTAATCAGATAGGGAATACCAAGGTAGGTTAAGAGTAATAACAAACTGTTTTGTACACACAAGAGGAGGGCGAATACGTTTACGTATAGCTAAAGCCTCAGTGAATTTCAAAAGGCGCTCTTGACCGTTTCTAGAAATAACCTTAAAAGCTATTTTGACATTAATCTTATGGATCATATCGGGTAGATGTTCAGCTATAGAAGAAGTTGGTAGTCTATCAATTTTCCAAAGTTCATCTGTTTTTCTAACCACTTCGGAATATGCTCTCTTACCATCACATCTAGCTGTTCGGAATTTTTCCTTTGATGCAGTTTCTTATCAACAGCTTGCAGTATTCATGGTGAGTTTATCGGAAACTTTATTCTTTCTTCATTTTCACCAACCGTCCCTTCAAGCACAATAGCATGCACTAACTACATACAGTCAAGCACTGTAACCTGAACACCACAAAATCCCTACAGATAACTTGTTTAATAATAGATGCTTCAAAGATATGAGCCATAAGTGCACCTTCCATATCCTTCATAGCCACAAGTAATTCATTAAGGATCTCAGAATATCTTAGTGATCTGAAAATGAATAATTATTAAGACTGATATAACTTAAGTAACAGGTGTAGTAGTTGTAGGACACAGGTGCTAGCTACTATTCTACAGAAAGCTGACACTAATTTTTGGCATTTTAGAAGGACCATTTATACTATTCTTCTTGCCCCAATGAACACTGATATCAACATAATCTGATGCTATGTTATGCATTGAGCAATTACGGTCTCCCGAAATTCCATGTGACAATGTAAATTAAACTAGTATCACATCTTTGCCTGAGTAATTTTAACTAGAAACTTCGTCGAAATGGATATAATCACCCGGAAATCCAGCAGCTTGTCTCACTCATCACATGATCTCTTCAATGTGTTATGGAATATTTCAATCATCACGGATGGTAACAAAAGCGTTTGACATCCTCAAAACGTACATCTTACTTATGTATGTGGGCTATTTCTCTTTCAAATGCCCGATTCTCATAGAATAACTGATATGACAACAACCATTGTCTGTAGTCAATTTACAACCTTAAGAACTATAACAACTTGCACATAACAAAGGTTTGAGGCTATTTCGACAAATAACATACATACTCACACACACACTCATACAAAACTAATCTGTACAAATCAACCATAGAGGAGTGAACACAACAACAATTTGACATTAGTCATCACAAATATGTGATGACTGCTTACATATTTCTTTTGGTAAAAAATGTCCATGGCCAGATGACCTTCAAATAAACTGACTTTAATTTATGTAAAAAATTTTTTGACTATATATTTTGATGATTAATAAAAATCCGAATAAATCTGCTGAAGAAACTGTGGCTTACACAACGAAACGTTCAGAAAAATCTTGCTTTGATTTTCTCAACACGCTGGGAATAATTTATAAAGCTTTAAGGCTCTAAAACGCAAATAATAGTCTTTCCATGCGAAATTCCCTATAAAGGATGACTTTTTTAGTAACATATCGTCTGAGATATCAAGACAATTTTACCCATTAATACGAAAACATGACAGAAAAACATTGCTTTTTTCGGCTACAGAAGCCTAAAGCGAGTCAAAAACAATATATTTTTGCAAAACTGAACGATTATAACGCCTCTATAGGTGTGAACGTGATAACCCATACAGTGCGCGATAATATATCACGATAACGTTTATCCTCATCCTCCCAAAATCCTACTATTTACATTCCTACTGTATGGTAAATTCAATGAAAACACCCTTCTTAGGGACAGAATAGATTGTAGGCTTTAAAACTTATTTTTCTTCTGCACAGGCTCAAAATTTATAAAGGATATCCGTTTTCAACCAAAGCATCCATCTAATATTTTTCGAGTATTGGTTTTTGTAGAGATTTGTTTGACTGGTTGGAGGATTTCATCATGGGCTGACATCAGTTAGAGAACCATTGGAAAACCTGAGAGTACTGATGAAGAGTCCGAAACTAGGACGAAACAACTGTCCAGTACTCCCATGTTTTCCAGTGGTTCTTTAATTCATGTCAGCTCATCATGAAATACTCAACCATCCATCTAATAACAATGCCGAAATTTATAAAAGGGACTAATTGCTTTAAACCTTTCAAACTACTATTTTTTGTTTTGATATCATGTAGTCTGACTTAACATCGACAAACAAACGATGCAATCCCGCCTACTATGCAATGTCAAGTCATTTTGATATTAACATATAGTAATCAAATATTAAAAATTAGAGGACGTTTCGTGAACAATTTATAGCTCATAATCATACCAGTGTGTTGATACAGCTTCATAACTTGCTTTAAATTACCTTAATTCTTACTGTTTTTATTGCAAGAGCCGATTACTCAACACATGTGTAGAAGAAAATGGAGATGGATTGGGCAGCGTTGAGGAGGCCGTCAAACGACATCACGCGCAATGCAGGTCATCGCTCAAGTGGAATCCCAATGAGAAGCGACGAGTGGGCCGTCGGTGTGAGGGTGACATGGAGGAGATAGCGTGAGGGGCAAATAAGCGATAATGGGCAATTGTGGACCCAGCTGAAGAGGACAACAGAATATAGAGCAAAGTAGAGATGTGTTATCGAAGCTCTATGTTCCACTCAGAACCCAAGGGAATAATAATAATACTTCTTGCTGTTTTTATTGCAATTTCCCATACATCTGGACAGATGTTTACCTTCGCTACACTGAATAACTAGACAGCTTCATCGTTAGTTTTAACTGGCAATATAGTCAAAGTTACTAATAAGCTTTGAGTGCTAGTATCAACTCACCGATCTCCCATGCAGTATTTTTAACGTTAAGAGGCAAATCACCAAAAATCGGCGACCTCAGATCGTACGGAATTGTGCGACCAGTTGTATCTTTTACTATTTATATTTACGTTAGTTTTTGATTTTCCCGTTGATTGATTGGGAAGAAAGCCATAAACTGACTTGAATAATAACTGATGCCCTTTGCACAAGAAAGAGGTGGCTCTCGTGACCCAGGTGGTCTAGTAAATAATAATGCCTTAGCGTTTGAAACAATGCATATTGGGTTCAAGTTTTAGTGGAAACCCCCACCCCACCCTCAGTGGGAAATGTAGGTACATCCAGATGACAAGTCTCAAGTAGAAAGAAATGTTCGTTTCGGTTGCTGTTTGTAGTCACCATCCGCTTACTTCACGCATCTTTTATTGTTTTCACATATGCTATTCCAAAATGATAGAATTTTTATGATAATCCTAAACTTTTACGAAGAAATACAGCACTCCAGTCGGAGAAAGCTGACTACCCGCTTACATCACTGAGGTACTCAATTTTCCATAGAGCATAAAATTTACTTAATTTCATTTTATTTTAAACATCTAATAACTTCCATGAGGAACAATCTGTATCCAGGTACACTTTGGAATAGCTTCCAATAAACCTCCACAAACGCATTGAAGGGACAAAATACGTCGGGGGTCGAAGTCTCTTTCAGGTAGAACACTATTCCGTCGAATGATATACTTTAGATTACTGTTTTACTAGAAGATTCCTTATAAGCAGTAGACAAAAACACTGAAAATTCTATACTGCTTATAAACATATTGCTCAGAATAAAGCATAAGTGCGTCGGTGGCACAGTGGTTAGGACTCTCGCCGACCATAAACATGGTGCGGGGTTCGACCCTATGCCGACGCACACCTGATATCTATAGTGGGCCTGCAAAATTTGGGCTACCGATATCACATGCTGAAAATTCCATACCTGTACCAATCAAGCTGTAATAAAAAAATTATTCTCAGAAATCATTACTGTACTGATGTAGCTTTGTCCTTCATCAGTGATTGACATTATGGCTGAGCATATATGGACTGGCTGACTGGTTTCAACGTAGAACTTTGCATAGATGTGCACCAGTTCGAGTTGCCACGCTCCCGCCATGTAGCACACAAAGCAAGGGAAGAGAGTAGAGAAATTCAAAAGAGATAAACAGAAATATGATGCATAAAGAATAGTAATATGGAGGAGGAGGAAATTCTTACTTTTATGCAGATGGGCGTCTATTCCGTCAAGTTGATGGTGTCATAATGGGAAGCCCCCTGGGACCACTATTCGCAGACTTATTATTGTCAGGCCTAGAAACCGGTACCTTGCAGCAACATATACAAGAAACGGATGTATACCTTAGATATGTTGATGACATTTTGACTGTCTGGGAAAGCAGATCAAAAGCCGAAGACATGTTAATAAAATTCAACTCATAC